GGATAGGAAGAGAATTGATGCCTTTGAGCTGTGGTGCTGGAGAAGAGTATTGAGGTTACCATGGACTGCTAGGAAAACAAACAGATTCTTCCTGGAGAGGGTTAAACGGGGCAGCTCCTTGGAGGCAAGGATTCTGAGGCTTGATCTAACATACTTTGGACATGTTGTAAAGTCCGTGGAGAGGGATGTCATGCTTGGTAGGGTGGAGGGACAGCGCAGGAGGGGAAAGCCCTCTATGAGGTGTGGATTGATTTGGTGATTGGGATGGGAGTGTCAGAGACAGTGCGATTGGCACAGGACAGAGCAGAGTTTAGGGCTGTTGTACATAGGGTCGCTATGAGTCACAAGCAACTGGACGGCACATGACAACAGCAAACAACAACCTGCTAAATACTATGACATAATAGGAAACTGTGTTGTAGATCTGAAACTCATGCTGGGGATCAAAAAGAAAAATAAGAAAGACAGAGGGCAGTACGTTTATGTTAATGGAGAAGGGACAACTAGGAAAAGGAGGGTAAGAATAATATCACAACTTGAGTATAATTAGTGTTATTAAGTTGTACTTCTAGAAATTGTTAACTTGGGTTGTATTCTGTTGTGTAAATAACATAAATTTAAATAAAAACAAAGGAAAAAGCAAGTTAGTGGAACTCTTGAGTATGCTATCTCTGGATTTTGATGCACAACTTATCAATCAAAGAAAGCTACAGTCAACAATAACTTTCTACCTACAATTTTCAAAACAAATTCCCCTTGCTTTGATAATACTGAAAACTCTAGCTCCTGTTTAGGTCTCAAATCTGCTGAGTTTCTTGCTTTTACCAAGTTTAATTCCCTCTCATGAAGCACCCCTTCACAAAACCCCATCAGTGAGAGGAATGGCATATAACTCCTTTTTTTCTATACTAGTAAAATGCTACTTAAGAAATACGCTATTCAGGAGCTCTAGTTGCCTAGTGGCAAGAAGCTGTACTGCAATGGCATGAAGTTCAAATCCACAAGACGCTCCGCTGGTGAAGGAGGGGCAATCTCCTCCTGTGCCAGTCAGATCTGATTTGACAGTACAAAACAAGGGGGGGAAATAAATAAAATTCAATAAAAGGGGACAAAAAGAAATAGCACTATCCGTATATGATTGCCTACACCGTTGTTTAGATAAACTACATTTGGTAAAATTTAAATAGTATGTATTCCACTAAAATATAAGGAAATGAACTTAATAATTTCTTTTCTTCACAGATATCTTGACTTCTATTTGCCTAGATTTGTGTTATCTGCGGATAAGTTTTTTATGGTTGGACAGAAGGTCATCATTTACATCATGGTAGATGACGTGTTCCGGATGCCTTGGATAGAACTGAGTCCTCTCCGCACACTCAAAGTTTTTGAAGTTAAACCAGAGAATAGATGGCAAGACATCAGTATGATGCGCATGAAGACCATAAGTGAGCACATTGTACATCACATACAGCATGAAGTTGACTTCCTCTTTTGCATGGATGTGGACCAAGTCTTCGAAAACAAATATGGACTGGAGACTCTAGGGGAGTCTGTAGCTCAGCTGCATGCTTATTGGTATAAGGCAAATGCTACTTTGTTTCCTTATGAAAGAAATCCGTTATCAGAAGCATATATACCTGTGGGTAAGGGAGATTTTTATTACCATGCTGCTGTTTTTGGTGGCACTCCCGTTCAAGTACTAAATATTGTCTGGGAGTGCTTAAAAGGAATTATGAAGGACAAAAAAAGGAACATTGAAGCAGTGTGGCATGATGAAAGTCACTTAAACAAGTATTTCTTTCTCCACAAACCCACTAAAATCCTGTCACCTGAATACTGCTGGGATTATCGTCTACCACCAAATTCTGATATTAAGGTTATCAAACTATCTTGGAATTTTAAAGCTTACAAACTTATTAGAAATAAAATGTAATTTTATTGCTCTTCAGGTATCTGAGTTTACGATCATAGTTTTATTTTATTCTTTAGAAACTTAGTAGTTGACAAATTTTAGCACTTAAAATCACTAACAAAATGACAATCTCACCAACACAGCGATTGCAAATTTACCTTCACATCCATTTTGAATCTTTTAACATAGCACATTGAAGTTGTAGAATGAAATTCTTGAAACCAGATGTAGATAGGCAGTGACTTCATAGTTTGTTTGAATTTTAAGGAAATATTTATCGTACCATGTTGATTGAAACAGACTCTGTTACAAGAAAATGAAACTTGAAATCTTAAAATTGAGCCAGATAAATAGAGTAAATATTACTCATAATGCCTAAAGGAAAGGGTGGTTCAGGGGTAAAATTTCTGCCTGAACATACCAGAGACCAGAGTTTGATTTCTGACCAACACACTACATCCACAGGCACCACCCTCTGTCAGTAGTGGCTGGAATATCACGGTGATGATAAACAGGTTAAGAGAAGCTTCCAGATGAAGAGGGACAAAGAAGAAAAATATGAAAATCAGTCAGTAAAAATTGAATGGACAGTAATGGGTCCAGCTGCGACTAACCACAGAGACAACGCCAAGCTGGTTGGCATTTCATTCCATTATGCGTTGTCACCAGCCAACGGGCTGATTCGTTGGCAGTTAATAGGTGTGGGTAATAGGTGTGAGTAAAGGAAAGTCACTGCAACGACACTAATACAGCCTATATGTGAAACACTGAAAATGTTAACACTGCTTTCAGATGAACAGTGACTCCGGCATCTTCGATCATCAATAAAAGGCTATATATTTTACTTTTTAAAAAAATTTATCTTATTTCATTTTGTGTGTGTGTGTGTGTGTGTGTGTGTGTGTGTGTGTTTACCATCAAATCAGATCTGACTGGTAGGTACAGGAGGAGATTGTTCCTCCTTCTCCAGCAGAGCATCTGGTAGATTTGAACCGTGCATCTCTGAGATTGCAGTTGCAGCTTCTTGCCACTATGCCACCAGAGCTCACCAAGGCTATATGTTTAAAAACAACATAGTTGTTGCCAAAAATACACACTGAAAAAAAAATACAGAAAATTGCAGTTCTGTCTTTACTTTCCCTTTGAAAACCTTTCTTTTCTTTTACATTTTTCAACTGTTTTGTATGCATATGAAAGTTAAAACAATGAATAAGGATTACAGAATCTATGCCTCTGAACAGTGGCATTGTAGAAGAATACTGAACATCCACGAACTGCCGAAAGAACAAACAATTACAACTTGGAGGAAATACAAACAATAGTGCTCTTTAGAAGCAAGGATGGTGAAACTTCATCTCACATATTTTTAGCCTGTTGTCGGGGGGGGGGGGGATGTCAATCCTTGGCAATAGACATCATGCTGGAAAAGGTAGAGGGTCAAAGAAAGAGAGGAAGGCCCTTAATAAGATGGAGTGACACCGTGACTGTAACAATGGGTATAAGCATGGAAGAGATGATAAGGATGGCACAGAATAGGGCAAGGTTCAGATCTGTTATTCAGAGAGTTGCTATGACTAGTAGTTGACTCAATGGCACCTAACAACAACATATGTATACTCACCAAAGGAAGCTCTGGGGACCTAGTGTATGAAATTTTGCTACTAACTCAAAAGCATCCATTTCTCTCTGGTAGTTTGAATCCAACAGAAGCTCTGCAGGAGAAAAATAGGCAATATCCTCCCATTTGATTTATAGCTTATGGTTCAGGGTCTACCAATTTTTTAGTTTTTTGGCACAAAGACTGTGATTCTTTCCACCTTCTTTTGATGTTTCCTGTGCCATTCAATATTTTGCCCGGACTCTTTAGAATTGCAACTTTAGGCTTTATTTTTTTTTCTTCAGTTCTTTCACCTTGAGTAATGTTGAATATGTTTTTCCTGACAAATGAACATTCTCTCTGAATGTATATATAGTCTTATATCTTGTTTGTTAACTTTTTAAAAATAAAGTTTTTATTTTATACTGGTTTAATTACAAAGTTGGTATATACTGGTTTTCACACTGGATCTCTCCCATTTCCTTTACCCACCCCTTCCTCTATCCATCAAATTGTGTGATCCTATAATTACTCCCCTGCCCATCCTCACTTTTCTGCTCATACAGTTTACCAGTTATCTTTCTATTTCTATAATAATGGACTTATGTAATATTTGTCCTCATGGGACTGAGTTCATTCACTTATGATACTTTCCAGTCCTTCCCAAGTTAGGTAGTGATTTTAAAAATCTTTCCTCTTGCATGCTACATAGTATTCCATCAAATTATGGTACATAATTTCTCAATCCATTTGATTGTGGTTGGACATTTGAGCTGTTTCCATGTTCTTGTGATGGTGAATAATGCTGCTATAAACATTAGTGTACAGATATCTTTTTATACTTTAGTTCTAATTTTCTTGGGGTATATTCCAAGCAGTGGAAGAGCTGTGACATATGGAATTTCTGTGCTCAGCTTTTTGAGGAAATGCCAAACTGCTTTCCAGAGTGGTTGTACGATTTTACAATCCCACCAACCATGCATAAAAGTTCCTATCTCTCCATATCCTATCCAATGCTCTGTTCATTTTTTGGGGTCTTGGTAGTTTTATTTTTTAAAAAATTTTTTTAATTTTAAATTTAGGTTGTTTATTTTTCATTTCAATGAACATCTACAGAGATTTTGG